ATATTTCCCAGAGTACCCTGAAAGTATCAGGATGAGATTCACACACTCGCACAAAGCCCAATTAAAGAGGCTTCATGCAGAGCTTTCCACAAAGACTGGAAGACTGAATTAACTCTTGTGCCCTTGTGTGTACATGATGTGTGAGCAAAGGGAGGGGAGGAGGACTGCGGCAGGACGCTTATGTTGTAGTAGTTCCCACAGCAAGCTGGGACAACATTTCCAGGGGTTTCTGATGACATTCTAGTGGCTTTCTCACTAGATGACTTTACTTACCAGATCTATGTGATGTCCTATTTGGGCCTGGAAGTGTAAGGGACTGCTTATTGGAGGGGTGAAGTCATCAGACACCCCTCACTTCTAGCCCAGCTGTCTCACTACAGCAGGAAACAGCGATACATATCGCTGGAAAAGTTTACTCCGATGAATCATTATTACTAAGATCCCTGGGCAGTGGTAGGTAAATGCAGCCTCTCCGTTTTGTGAGCCTGGATACCAGAATGCTGAAGTGACTTGACCAACATCAAGGGACTCTCAATTGTGGGAATAAAAAACCCCTTTAGACTTGATTAATTGAACACCCTTCCTTGCTAAAAAGTGACTGCTTTTTCCTATAGTACAGGTAGTGACTCTTATTAGCAGCCATGTGGCATTCATCTGCTGCTCTGTTCTTTGTTCACTCTTTGTTGAGGACTCTTTATCCATATTGCCTTTTCCACAGAATTGTTTTTTCTACACAAACCATGTCTCTTACAGAAAGTGGTTTCTTCATCTACTGTGAGGTTACCAGAGAATTTAATCTTTAGCATGGTGCTGAGAGGTTTTACAGCATGGCTGTCAGTACATCTTTGACAAGGATCTTTTGCAAACTTTGGCAGAGGAAGCGTAGCTTCTGTATCTAGTTCTAAATCTAGTTTTGTTCAGTTGAACCATGGACTCCTTGGTTTTTGACACTTAGTCAGCCTCAACTCTGTCCACCTGTGTTCAGGAACATGCAGTAACTTCCCTGCTAGTCATCAGATTCATCTTTACAGGCAATTAGACCCACACTTCCCCTTGCCTTTGGTGATGATTATTATCCCTCCTGCAGGAATCACCACCTTCACAACTGATTTACAGTAACAGATCATGCCAGTGCTCCACAGTTCACTTCAGTGTAAGGTGTGCAGATTTAACTGGTCTTCTTCAGTGGTGATTCAAGAAGAGTGGTGTGGTGTTAGCCATTTGGCGTGATATCCATAGGGGCCTGGGCCAAGGCCAATGGCTCAATTCACTTCATTGGCTGAGCAAGAAAAATTGCCACTGATGTTGACCTTATCATAAATTCACAGCCCCTGTCCTTCTGCCACCAGCTCTCCAGACCAGCCTTTTAAAGACCAATTGTATCTGCATTCTGGTTGCTAAAATTGTTTGAGGTTTTGTTATTTCAACTCTGTGGTCTCAGAGGAACAAATTCCTCAATAATTTTGCTTTCTCATCAGCCAAAGGCGCCACTCTGTGCTATGCACTAACAAGGCTGGAGAACAAGGCTGTCTTTAAATGAGAAAGCCCTGCCTTTTCCTCCTCGCATTCATACAAGTTAAACATGACTTCTTGCTTCTGTCATTCATCCTATTAAGAAAACCCCAGACTGCCAAGTTCAACCTCATTTGCCAGTTTCCAGGGGATGGCAAGCATTTATACCTGAATCATAAACCCCGAAGGAAGGACCTTATCTGATGTGGTACACCAGGCTTAATGGGCTGGTATATGCAGCTGCATCACCTTGGGTAAGAACTTCAACAGAGCCTCTTATAAATAGCATGCCTGATGTTACATGCATTATGCCGAAGGACACAGGTGTTTATATTTACTGACTTAGTACGTAACTGCTTTAAGTGGTTCTTTGGTGGTAGGATCTAATTGAGCAATATTCTAAACTGGTTTGATTCAGTTCGAAATTCCAGCTCTGCAGCAAGATTTTGAATCAAATGCAGTTTGACCAGTTACCACCATCTCTCAGCCTTACTTGTAGGATGGTGATGCATTAACGTGTTGATGATGTAAGAGTGAAGGCAGATTTTCTTCACTCTTACTGCTGAACAAGTTGTTCTGATGATTTACCCAGAAAGCCCTAAGTGTCCTTATAAATGTAAAATTTCCTTTTTTTTTTCCCATGAGCAGATGGAAGACTTGGATGGAAAGGAATAAAAACATAATTTGCCAGAGCCCTCAATTAATCATAATCAAGTTTGTGCATGTTATACTCTACAAGGGTAACAACAATGAAACACAGGGAGAAAAGGATGCTTTCCTCAGGCAATTCTGAAGACATAAAAGCAATAAAGAAGCATACTTCAAAATAATGTGGAGATATATAACTGCACTAAATAAAAATGCTTCTTTAACGTACTGTAAAAATAAAGATGTTTAGTTAGATTTATCATTCTTGTTACAAACGCAAATTCATCCCCTGGACTATGCCATTGACTGAAAGCATCCAAGGGGTGGTTGGGGCCCACTACTTTCTGCAATTACTTCAACATTGTTTCATTTGTTAAAAAGCTAACTAGATTATTCCTTCTTTTTACTCCAAGGTAATATATAGGACACCTTGATCCCACAGATACAGGTTTTTTTTATTTTTAAACTACATTTAAGCCATCTTTTAATTGGGTATAGTGAGAGGAATGGTTTGCTTATTAATTTGCATGAGTCACATCCAAACCTGTGAAAATATATTTTTTAAACTAGTTTTGCAAATAGCAACACATGTTAATTGAAAGCAACCCCACTCCCCAAATCCTGACTTGATTGACTTGGGAACATTCAAACCCAGCGAGACTCATTTCTGCAGCCTCATTCAACCATTGCAATGAGCAAATGAAACAATTGTTTTATTTGTAAGAGGAGATTATCCCTTGAAGGCAGATAGAAGGATACTGCCTACAGAACCCCATTTGCAGGCACAAAGAGCGCTTAGTCAATTTTTGGCAGTGATACTGAAGCTATTAGTTTTGGATATGAGTTCACTGATGTTCAGTGCTGTAGATTTTCAGTTAGTTCATGAAGGGCCTTTAAAATTACACACAGGCTTCATTAATCGCCTCAGAAAAGAAGCAACAAATATCAGGCCCTTAAAGTATATGTGCACAGAATGGCCATTGATTTCAGTGAATATACCCCACTGGGGGACTGATCCTACGTCCTGGGAAGGCAATCACAGTTTTTCCAGTAGTTGCAGCAGGCATTGCCTCCAAGTACAAGGGTTTTTGCAGGATCATGCCCTACTAGCTGCTCTCTCTCTCGCTCTCTCTCTCTATCTCTCTATCTCTCTACATACGCGATTTGCATACACAAACACAAACATGCATATATGTAATCCCAATTCAGTGTGTTAAAAGTGTAACAGCTATTGTTTAAACTCAAATTGGAGACCAATACAAGATGCCAGACAGGGTCGTTCAAAAGAAAGAGATAGAAATCCAGCTTTGTGGTCTTGAAGCTTTTTTTTGGTCCTTTCTCCATTTGATAGAGCAACACCTGAACAGTTGTTCAACAGCTAACTATCCGTGAGGAGAATTTCCTATGCTTCCCTTGCAAACAGCAGAACCCCATGTGATCCCTGATCACAACAGATTGATTTATTTAAATAAAAATAATGATCTTCTTTCCCTTCTCCAGCCCCGGCAGCAAAATCCCATGTAACCCTGATCAGCAAATTGATATACTTATCTTTTTTTGCCATCCTTTTTCGAACCCAAACAACACCACCCTGATCCGCTAGTAATAAGAAAATGATTTATTTAAACAAAAATAATTATCTTTCTTTGCTGTCCACCCTCTAACTGTATAATCTCAGCAGCTCCTTGTTTAACAAATTGATTTACTTAAATTAAACAAATGGTGATCTCCTTTTGACCTCTATAGAGCACCTCCGTGGCAGACTCCTATCACTGCCAACACCTCACCCGTATGCTTAGAAGGATGTATTTTAAAGGATAAGAGCATTTCTAACTAACCTTGATACTTTAATCAAAGGTCATGGAAGTTCTGTTACTGTGCCATGAAATTAAGACACATCTCTGAAAAATAAGTAAGTTAAGTGTACCTTCCTCCATATTTTTATGGCAGGAACAGTTACTCAGTTTCCCAGGAGGATCTCTACAGATGGTGGCTCTATACAGTTTGTTTACACCCATCTCTCCCACTGTGCTGCCCGTAAGGTTCTTTGCAGACAGAGCTTTAAAGCACTGGCAAACTCAGTGCATAAATATGGGCTACGCCACCTCACCTGAAACACTGACAGAGCCATCTAGTGCCAGTCTGCTCCAGCAACTGGTGAATGAGATCACGATCTCCAAGGGTTTCATCCACTACGTTTTAAGGATCTGTCAAACCACGGTTTGTATTGTAAGGACTCTGGGCCTGCCACTGGCAAAACATTCATAGGCAAGAAGAGAGTCCTGTTTAAAAACCACTGACATGATCTTTTTGTAAAAACATTCCAGGTTGGATAAGTCCTGAAGGTATATAAATAAGTACATATATGGGTATGCGTATGTGTGTATTACTGTGCTGGTTTTATTTAAGATTGTATTTTCTGTGCTGTCCAACGAGTATCTCTGTTTTGTGCAGCTGCTACTTAAACAGTCATTTTGGCATTATACAGAATTAGATAATTATATGTGCTATAAGCAAAAGTGCAAATAGTCCCACTTAACACCTAATCATATGATATCTGTTGTGAAATGCTGGCGAAGGAGCCAACAGATATGACTGTTACTTTGCTATTAGCTCTGGTTCGTTGGAGGCGCACACGGACTGCAGCTGGAATTTGGCATAGATGGAAGAGGGATTAAGTGATAGTGGGAGCCCGAGTGTATTGTATATAGAAACATTCTTTCCTCAACCAATTTCTGTGGTGTGTAATACTCTGAGCAGGACATTGGTGTTAACCAGTCTTCCAGATTTTGAAATACTCTGGTTTTTTGTAGTTCATTCACACTGTGTGTCTGCTTTAGTTTCAGACACACTTGTGTTCTCCAGCAGAAGACAGTGACATGACAGGAATGGTAGCACAAGGCTCTTACTGTTAAATTCAATAATTGATTCTCCTGGATGGATTGTGACTCTCCAGAGGTTGCAAAGAAAGGTAAGAATGATTGTACAGCATCAAAAACATTAGTTTGTTCCAAAGCCAGGAAGTTCTCCCTTGAATTCTTCCTCTTCAAGGTCTAGCACTCTTTGTGACTCTCTGGAAATGCACAGGAAAATCATTAAGAGAGATTGGTTTTATTAACAAAACATTTTCTTCTTTCTTTTTCAGTAATTTTAAGTTGGTTTTGTAATCTTGGACACTGAATTGGGAATCATGTGAAAAACCTGGTTGTGTCCATTTATACGATTGCACAAACTCCTATAGGAAATCCAAATGAAAGGGGAGAACATTGCAAAAACTGGTTAAGAAGTTGCAAAGTAGAAATATAGATACCTCTGAAGCTTCTCAAATCCCACCTTTTTTTTTTTTCTATTTTATTTACATTTTTTTTATTCTTCCAAAAGCCAAATAATTGAGGTTTTTGTATCTGAACACCTTTGGAGTTACCATCTCAAAATATACTTGGATATTTGTTTCAGAAAATTCAATTTCATGGAGCTTTGGGCTCTGATCCTCACCTTGCGTTACCTTTACTCCTGACTTGAAAAAGTAAAAGTGAGGTGAGACTCAGACTACAAGATTATGCAAAAATGTTCCCATGAAAAAAAAAAAAGAATCCTATTCTGAAATTATAAATGGAAGATTATAGCTGCAGCTTTTAAAAAAATTTGGCCCTCTCTATTGGTTTGCCAGAGAGGCAAGTATTTCTGCAGATGGCTCGGAATTAGTAGAACATGAAATAATGTCAATGGTACTGGTAAGAGGATTAAACAGCAGTTCTGATGTTATTGAACGGTTTGCAGAGACCGTATTAAACAGCCACATCAGTCCACAGGTCAGCCCTGCAGTTCTTCTGCTAAGCAAACACAGATGTAGAGTTCCCTTTCATGGTCATCGTTTCATGCCTCTGACATATGTTAGGCTCTTGGGACTCAGTGGCATATTTACAGCCTGAACATTAAAGATTCCTTTTTTTAGATCATTAGTAGACACCGATGTCTAAATTGGTAGTAAAAGGAAAAAGCAGGAACTCAGGACACAGGGGATGGACTTCAGTGCAGTACAAACATATGAGTGAAAAATTAAACTGCTAGAAAGTTCCCTGATGAAATGTTGGGGACTTTTTCGGTTGCTGACAAAAATTCTCCTTAAGAATCCAGTCGGTTTTAAATCTCTTTTTATTTTGGGCTGATCTTCTCTGTATTTTGCCAGAGCTGCCTATGAAGTCACAGTGGTTGAATTTCACAAGGCGAGAGGAGTTCAGCTCGTGTCCGCACTGCCAGGCCTCTGTGCTTGTTCAAAGTTTGTGCAAATCTGCTGGGACTACAAATTGGCCAGAAGAAATTGAGGGAACAATCTATTTTACAATATTCCTGTTCCTTTTCTATTCCAACAGAAACTTTGGCAGTTCTTTAACATTTTCCTCTGTTTTTTGTTTGTCTGAAACCAGGAGTCAGAAATGAAGAAAATAAATAAAGCAACGATGTGATAAGCAGGGGTTTTTTATACACACATAATGCTTATTCTTGTGTGTGTGTGTAGTGAGGACATGGTGGGACAGATTCTTCTTCTTTGTCTGAATGGTTTTACCTGACTCAGTCCTGAAAGCTTGTGCAGTTTTCAAATAAAGATATAAATACAGATAAGCTATGTGTCAAGGTAGAGTTCCTGAACGTAAAGGTTATTGACAAAGAATTCTTATAGAAAGGAGAAGATAAATCAGCTGATAAATTACTGACCCTCTGGTCAATAATTGTTTAATATGATGCAAATCTTAAGTGAAATTTCCAGCGCACAACTGCTCCGCGTGTAGCTACTTCTTCCTGCTAGAGGAAATAAACATGCAACCAGAGAGTGTAGCAATGAATTACACTGAACCTCAGAAATGTTTTAGCATGTCTTCAAGAGCGGCTGCCTGCTTCAGTGATGGATTATAACTTAGCATGGGATCCCACAGGCATGGCAAGGTATTTATGTAGTGTTCTGATTGCTCAGACACTTGGAACAAATGTACAGTCAGTGCTAACAGAAATCAGAGTATCACTATCTCCCACTTTATTTCATTTATTTATATTTAGCAAGTGCTGGAATATTACAAACCACCAAGTGCAACTGTAGCTGGAATATAGTTTCCAAAGCTTATTTACAGTAGCTCTTACTCACAAAGGGTAATGGTATATTACTCCATAAGTAGTTCCATTGATTTCAGGGGGTCCATTAGAGAGGTGTTCCATTCCTTGTATAGCTGAGTATATCTCGATTTGGTCCTGTGTTTGAAATGTAGAAAGAGCTCCTTTACTGCCAGGTTCTTAAATGAATGAACAGTTTGAAAAAAGCACTACCCCTCACTCTCACCAAAAAGTTAATAATTAGTCCAAAATACTGATGAGGCTGGTGAGATGCTGGTTTTGCAATATTTCATTGTGTTGCAGGCAACAGTGACACATGCTCTTCAGTTAGTGTGTAGATGGATGTGCATTCCATGTGCTATTTTCAGCTCTGTACTTAAACTGATCCGAAATTCCAAAGAGAAAAGAAAAAGCTGAGATTCACATCAGTAGCAAAGAACATCAGGTGATGTTGATTTAAAGAAAACATTAATCAATCCAGATTTGCTTGGAACTGGGCCCAGGTTCACTCAAGAGGTTGGTGAACCTTAGCAAATCTTTCTGTGAATCTGTTCTGTGTTTTGACTTTGTAACGTGATCTGAAATCATCTGAGTTTCATGTGGTTTTGTTGTGCACGTTTTGGAGCGCTCGCGGGGTGAATCCAGGGAAACACAGCGATGCTGTATTTTGCATGATGCAGTAAGGTGAGCAGTATTTCACTCTTTACTGACACTCCCTGAGACCAAATTGAACAATGGTTGATGCTGTCAGCATAGTTTTAAAAGAGGAGACAATCACTGTCTGTCAGTGTTCGTGTGCCTACAGTAGTCTTTATTTCAGAGCCAAGAGGCAGTCTTCAAATTGTATCCTAAATAACACTATCATGAGCTTTGGACTGTTATTTTCTTTTTCCTGTTTCTAGTAAATGTCAGAATTCTTACTGCGTAGGCAGGTACTGGAGTTGTGAAGACTATGTTAGGTTTCTTGATGTATACTGGTTTGAAGAAGTTATATAGTGCTAGAAAAAATAGGATTTTGAGCCTGTGGATGAACAACTTATGTTTTAACTTCATTCAGTTTGTATCTGAATTCATAAATAGGTGTACTCAGCCTCCATAGATGAATATAAAGTATCTAAGATCCATCTACCCCAATCAGGTCAAAAATACGATGAGTTGATATCTTCTATTCATTTTATTTCTAGTCTAAGCTAGAGTCCAGAGCAATAGAGATGTGAGACACTCAGCACAAGAAAAATCTGATTCATGAGAGGATGCCAAGTTTTTAATTCCATTTCAGAGTGAGCAGTTCGAACTCATTTTGATGGAGTTGGGATTTTGGAGAGAAAAGTTGGTGGGAGGAGCTATGTGGGTTTTTTTTCCACTCTGATTTACTGCCTCATAATTGAGACACATTTGTAGATCAGTGTTATGATGGGTAGCTTAGAGAAAAGGAGAAGAATTCATAGAGGATGGGTCAGTGACTGTAGCTTAATGGCCTGGCATACATACAAGGTCAGACTAGATTATTTAACTGTCTCTTCTGGCCTTAAATTTAAGGAATCTCTGAAGAAGGAAAAACCAAAGTCTGCAAAGGTAATAAGTAAGAAAAAAAATAATGAGCTAGAGTGTTCTTTAATGCCCCCAAGGTTCTAGCCCCCCTAACCCGTCAAGCAGACTGTGGTACAGCCACCAATTGAATGGTCCTGTCAGTCCATTCAGAAGGAAGAACAGTTTGCCAATAATATTCAAGTTGAAGCTGACATCTTTATTCTCCTCTAGAAGAGTTGTGTTTGCACCTGCTTGTATCTGCATTTTTCCACTAAGGCTGTCTCACTTATTTAACTTGACACATGGAGCACCCCTCAGAGGTCTTTGGGATTCAAACCAGCATTAGAAGTGACAGCCCGGATAACATAGGTAATCATATCGGACCTTGTGGGACTGCGCTGACTGCTTTTTAATTGATAATTCCAAGTTTCCATAATAAATTTATTTCTTAATTATATATGTCGTGTCATACATGGTAGCTGATGATTACTGCTAGTTTAAGTTTGCAGCCTAGAAGACATCCTCCTCCCTACCATATAATCATGATTTTCCTTCCAAATTAAGATTTGCTAAGAAAGAAAAGGAACAAAACCTGCACATTAAATCCAATTCCTTCCAAATAAAGGGAGGTAAATTTAAGGTACTAAATTAGGTAAGTGATTTTAATTAGCTGATCATTTCAAGGAGATCATAAAACATTTAAATAACACTGAAGTTGTGTATATTTAAGCAGTTTTATGGAGAATTAAAGTCTTAAATGGTAAATTTAAAATGTAAATACAAAAGTCGATGGAGGAATGTTAATTGCTTTTCTTATGTTTCTCACATGGCCTGGGATGTTATGAGAGGTATCAAGAATTACATTCATAGTAATAACGTGTCCAATCCAAAGTTTATTGAAGTCCTTGGAATTTTTCCATGGATTTTAACAGTCATTGTATGAAAACAACAAATGCTTTTAAATGGCTAACTTCCAGTACTGTGGAAGTCACTTATATGCCAAAATTATATATGTGATGTCAATATTCTAAAATAACTAAACTGACCTTAAAAACTTATCTGGTTCCCTTTCAAGCAAATAAAATTACATGTGCAGTAACGGACACTTTACACTGTCAGATTAGTTTACATCAAAAGAAAAACTTACATACTCAGAGAAGCTGCTATGATTGGACAAAACATGTCAACAAATTGGATTATCATGAATATGAATTCTCACATTGCCTATCCCTAGCTCACTAATACTCTTACATTATTTTTGATTCAAACAGATCAGATTAAAACCTAATTCTACCGTTTGATAATAATAAATGCATAATATTTGAAACTAATGAA